GATTCGATTCCATTCGATTCGATTCTATTCGATTCGATTCGATTCGATTCGTTTCGATTCGATTCGATTCAATTCGATTCTTCTCGTCTTATCGACGCCTTATTATATAATCGACTACCCGTGATTCCATTAGATTTATCTTTTCATTGTTTTTCGTTTAATCGACGATATTCATATTTGTTATTCTGCCGATTCGAGGATATATCAAGAGAATCGATCGATCGATCGATCGATCGATCGTCTCAAGGATGAATGAAATTTACTTGCACGAGATTAAAGGAATTATTTTTTCGGAATAATAAATAATAAGCGTTATCTCTTCGATGATACGTTTTTATGGTAATTAGATTATGTTTTTTTTTTTTTTTTTCTTTTTTTGTTTTTTGTTTTTTGTTTTGAATCATCAGGGACATAGATCAAAGTGTAAAGAGATTATACAGGGCGTTTCGTTTAAATCGAGCAGTTTAAATATTTCCATTGTTTCTGACTATGGTAAAAGAAAAAAATAAACAGTAGATATCGTTTTTGATTCAAAAGTACTAATCAATTTTTTAAATATACTTTTCTTTGTATTTTGTTTATTTATATTTTTATTTTATTTTTCTATTTTTTTCCTTTTTTCCTTTTTTTTTTTCGTTTTTTGTAACTAATCGTACGTCAGCATTTTAAGGAAAAGAAGTTTGACGTATGGAAAATATTATATATATTATATATATATATATATATATATATATATATATATACACGGTGTTTCATTTAAGTCAATGTAAAAATAATATCACTCATTCGTTATTTACAATATGTAAATTATAAAACGATTAATTAAATATAATATTATATCATGTATCATTACGATATAAATGAAATTTGTTAATGTTGATTTCGGTTTTTTTTTTTCTTTTTTTTATAACCTAACTGTGACACTAAAAAAAAATATATATTATATACGTTATAAAAGAAAATAACATATACATCGAAGACCTTGAATATTTGAAGAGAGAAAGATGACATTGAAGAAGAAAATAAAAAAATGGAAGAAGCCTTATTAATTAAAATATTATCGTCCTTGGGTCGAACATTTTTTTTTTTTTTTTTTTTTTTTTTTTTTTTTTTTTTTTTAAGGAAAAATTCGTCGTATCGTTAAAAGCAACGAAAATATTTCAAATACTATGATTAGCTAAGAAACATTATCCTTGTGAAATATAAAAAAAAAAAAGAAAAAAAAAAATTTGAAATATTAGAAGAGAGAAATTTCAATCTTCCGAGAAGTTATTTTCGCAAACAGTTATATCGAGATACGTGAGAGATCTGAACTTTAACCTTTCTCTCAGTCTTTCTTTATCTGTTTCAACATTACATCGTTACAACTTTAAAAGAATTTAACTAGACGGGACAAACGTTATCGCGAATCCGAGAGATGAAAACTAACCAGTGAGAAATTCGTTCCTAACGGTCTACATAACAACAAAAGAACGAAGAGAGAGAGACAGGAGAGAGAGGAGTGAGAGAGGAGAGAGAGAGGAGAGAGAAAGGAGAGAGAGAGAGAGAGAGAGAGAGACAAAGCGATGAATAGTTTCTTTTCAAGTTATTTTTTTTTTTTTTTTTTTTTTTTTTTCTGTATTCCCTGTAGGCAGGTGTCAGATTGCGTGGGAGTTTCGAGCCACAACATCGTCACGTTCTGCCTGCTTCTGATGAATACGCGGGAACTGGGCCTCGGGAACATTCGCGTTGATTTCACTATCGACGAATTTAATTATTTCCTTACTAAAGGTGACTAGAGAGCAACGTTCGTTTTATATCCTAATTGATTATAGTCATCCAAAAAGGACGAATTCCCTCGTACTATATCAAAAGATGATTATAGTCATTAAACGTTGAACATTCTCTGTAAAATATGACTATTAAAATGTGACTATAATCGGCGAAGATTTATATTAAATATGACTATATTCATTCGAAGTTGAACGTTCATTGTAATACAATACTATAGTCACTTAATGTTCGCTGTATACTAAGAGTGATTATAATTAGTCAATATTTATATTAAAAATGGATATAGTCATTCAAAATCGAAAGTTTGTTCTGTATTAAGACTCATTATAATCAATGAACATTGAATCCTCATTGTTTATTTAAACGTTGAATCATTATTCTATGCTAAAGATGACTATAGTCATCTTTATTTATATTGGAGATGCCAATATTTTATGTCTTAGCCAATATTTATATTGGAGATGACTATATTATTGAACGTGGATTTTTCGTACTATACTAAAGATAACTATAGTCATCGAAACTCGAAGTCTCTCGAATTTACTCTACACGTACATATTATATGTGACTATATATATTAAAATAACTATATATATTATAGTTATGCACTATTTAATTCAGCTCCCTGTGAACTATAGTCACTCAACTTTGAACTCCCGTCATGAAAATGATTATAGTTATTTATGGAGAAAATTCTTCATTTTTGTACGAATAAAGACTTTTTTTTTTTTTAAAGCAGTTTTATATCAAATAATTTTTTTGAAACAAGTACGTATTTTTTGACAATTAATTTTCATGCCAAATTTATACTTATGTAACGAATGATCGATGTATTCTCGTTCTTTTTTCTTTTTTTCTTTTTTTTTTGTGCGTGACCTTTTCCTAGCAAATATTTTATTTTTTTTCTTCCCATAATTTCGATCAATCTTCCTCCTATTTCTGTTTTTATTCATGATAAATGGAAATATCTAAGCAGCCAATTGCGAAGTAATAAATGTGCGCGGAATTGAAGAAAGCTGCATTGCGCAACTGACAACTCATCAGAACGGCGCGTGTAAGTACCGTTATCGTTGCACGGCTTAAAAAGTACTGAAAATATCGTCGCAGAATATGTAATAGCGATATCAACTATTGTTTTCTAACACATTATCTCTCAATGATAAAAATATCACTTTAACCTGAATAGTGACCTCTCAAGTTTGGTTTATTATCAAAACGGTAGAATCAGTATAGTAAACGTGTTAACTAATGTTCTAATGAACTATCGATAATTATATCAATATATTGAAATATATCTATCTCATATGTATTTTATAAAAAGTTGAAGAAAATAAAAAGAAAATTTTGAAATAAAGAATATTGAAGACATGAGAATTTTAATTAAAAAAAAATGAATTTACATAATAAAAATGATCACACACATACATACACACACACACACGTGTATACAATAGTAAAGATAATAATTCTTTGGAAGAAAAAAAAAAAACATACGATGAAATTTTTAAATGATAATTTTTATGAAAATTGTGTAAACCAATAATTTTGACCAGTTGATAAATCTATACCATGATATTTAAATCCCAATGAAAAAATAAATTTTAAAAAGTGTATGACGAAAAATAGGATATATCGATTGTTCTGTCAGAATTGAAATATCGTCGGAGATAATATTTATTAAGAATCGATGCCGATGAAATCGATTAGACGCCATTGGCCAAAGACATTTAAAGCAAATTACAATAGATCGATCTATAATACAGAAGATATATTTCGTGTTACACAATAGATATATAATCAAAGAGATACATACACACATATATTTTCTATTCTTCTTTGATTTTTTTTTTTTTTATTATTTGATAATTCGTAATCAAGATAATGTAACTTTTTTTAATACAAAGATAATTCCAATATTTATCTAAATTTTTATATTTTAGTAATTTATGATATATTATATTCAAATAATATTTATATATAATATTTAATAATATAATAATAAATATAGTATTTAAATTATGTATTGATTAAATATATATATATATATATATATATATATATATATATATTTTTTTTTAGTTTTTTCAAAACAATTGACTTTAAATATAGCTTCATTTATAATATTGACGTCATATATAGTAATTAATAACGCAAATTTGTCTACATTGTAAATATGTAAACTCTTTATGTAAAATAGGCTCTCATATAATACGGAATTTCGTGTTATCAATCGGGTCATAATTTTGATTTCAAGAAATAAAAAAATTTATTTTTTAATTATTTTAAAATTTTTCTAATGATAAAAAAAAAAATAAAATGAAATTATAATGACATAAAATTTTTGGAAATATTAAACCTATCTGAGTTAAAAATATATATATGGTATATATTTTTTAATTTTTTAAAAATAATTTCTTTTGTGTCCTTTTATAAATAACCTTTTCTATAATACTATATACTAATCAAAATCATACATACTAAATTTGATATTTCGTTTGAAAAAATAAAATCAAATTCACATTTTAAAGATTTGCTAATAATTTTACAAATTCGTCGCATTAAAAATGAATTAACATAAATAAAAATTACTATTCTACTAATATTTCATAACATTTAATTTGAAAATAATAATAAAAGTAAAAAATTAATAAATAAAAAATAAATAAATAAAAATAAATATGAATAAATAAAGATAAATATATAACAATAATGATAAAGAAATTTCTTTTAGAGACAAAATTTCGTGAGAATTAAAAAAGTTTTTAACAATTTAAAACTATCACTTTAAAGTTCGAATTTTTAATCTTTTCATTGTCATAAGAAAAAAAAAAGAAAAAAAAAACAAATATTCTAATTTTATTTATTATACCAAAATCATTTATTAAAAGTATCTATATTATAGGAGTGTTCGTAAAATACGTGTTATATAGGGTAAATCAAAAGTTCCCAAATGATTTTAAAAAGTCAATTGCTCTTTTTCGAAGACATTTTCTTTTTTTTTTTAGATCAATTTTAACGATAATCGATTGAAACATTTATAACCATGATCTATCATAAATATATCCCCTTTAAATTTATATCAGAGCCATGAAAAAACACACGAATAAAGGTGTTTAATGTTGATCGCTCGGGTTTTCTATGGGGGTTTAGGGTAGGGCATAACCATAAAAGAATTTCATTACTTGATATTCGTTTCCGTTATGGTACAATGACTATTTTTATTTCAGACACACCTCTGTCACCAATGGGACCTTCGTCACCGAGTCAGGAAGGTCTATTCACAGATCTTCGACTTTTATCCTTGGAAAAGCAGCTTAACATCGAATTGAAAGTAACGAAATTATTATTATTATTACTATTATTTTATTATATATATATATATATTTTTTTTTTCTTTCATTTATACATCTTCATATGCCTGATAGGTATAAAAAAATAATAAAAAAGAAAAAAAAAAGAAAAGAAAGAAAGAAAGAAAGAAAGGGTTACATATTTTGAAGTAATATCAAAAGATTTGTATATATACAGGATGTCACATATATTTTGTAAGATTCTGAATCAGCTATATAATATAAAAATATTTTCTTTTTACTCGTAATCTTGTTGAGTTGTAAAAGTCAATATAGCTTTTTTTTTTTCCTTTATTTTTTAACGAATTTATAATCAATGTCGCATTTAATTAAAAAAAAAAAAAAGAAAAAAAAATAGCTACTATGTGTCTTTTATCGAGATAATCGATATTCTTAACGATTGACCAATTATATTCATATTACATGTCATACGAATAGACTATTTACAAATCAATCAATCATATATTTTGCCGAGTTGAAGGTCAATGATTTTGTTTTCAACGTAATTGACGTCAAAATACAATATTATCTAGTCTGATTAAATTTTTTTTCTCGAATCGTAATATTAAACGAAGCATTTATTTTGATACTTAAAACGTCGCTATGAGATTCTCGTAAACGATGATGCACTGTAGACAAATTTTTATTGAATACGATTTTTCATTTTTTTTTTTTTTTTTTTTATTGCGAACGATCGCTGCTATTTATACAAACGTACGAAAGAAATTGTAGGTGTCCATTTAAAAAGAAATAAAAAATTAAAAACACAAAAAAAAAATTGAATTATATTGACTATATATTCATAACTTGAAAAGATCACGGATTCAATAAAAAAATATATATAAAAAAAAAAAAGAAAAAAAAAAGATAAGAAGATAAAAAAATTAAAAAATTGTTTACAAGCTATTGTTTATTGACAAGCATTGTCAGCTGACTGATTGACTCGTAGATTGGTGAAAATTTTTATTAATAAAATTTTTGTTTTAACTACAATCAGTTTTGAGATATTTTATTTCAGACATCTATGGACGGACATCCTGTATATACATACATACATAAGTACACATATATACATATATATACATATATATTCTGTAATTTATTGGTAAAACACAAATATTGATAAGACATCTCGTAATCTCAGTGTAAATTCCCTTGGGTCAATTCAATGACGGTTATCCTTCTAATTGATTTTCCTTGGTTACTGCGTTAGATGTGATTCAGCGTTGACAATCTTTTTTTTGTCTGCTAATGATAGCCTCTAGTTGCGCCATGAGTCTGTTGAAATAAATCAGCATGATGATGCATGATACCGGGAGTCTTTTTAATCGTCATTATATATATATATGATTAATTATTTGGTCGAGCAAAAATAAAATAAAAACAAACAAGTCAGGCAATATATATAGGAACCATTAACATGCCAAATCGATTAATTTCACTTTTTGAATTTGTAAAAAATTTAAATATCAAAGTATTTAAATGGAATCCTCACTTTTTATAATCATAATAAGTTTCCCTAATTGTCGTTATTTAAATATCATAAAATGATAAAACTTTTTTTCACCATCGAATAAAATATAATTTATTTCAATAATAATGTTTATTCTAATACTATTCCATCTTATTTATTTTATACGTCATTGAATTAAAATTATACCATGGCATTTGTACAATCTACAATGTTTATTTGAATTTATATTTTAAAGTGAATTTTAAATAGCAATTTATATTATTTCATCATATTTCTCCATTTTTTCTTTTTTTTTTGTTTTGTTTTGTTTTATATGTAATTAATCGATATGGCAAAGCGAACAGTCTCATGTGTATATATATATATGTATGTATATATAAAATTAGGTTTTTCAGAAATGGAGTTGTGTTTTTAATATCGACAATATAAATGGTAATGAGAATTGATAAGTCATGACTGACATTGTCAGCGAATTAGGATGGTACGAAATATCGATCGAATGGCATTCGGCCAATTCTTTCTTTCTCTTTCTCTCTCTCTCTCTCTTTCTCTCTCTCTCTCTCTCTCTCTCTCTCTCTCTCTCTCTCTCTCTCTCTCTCTCTCTCTCTCTCTCTCTCTCTCTCTCTCTCTCTCTCTCTCTCTCTCTCTCTCTCTCTCTCTACGTCAACAAATTTTTAAAACGTTGTGCGCCGGTTAGTTGTCTGTTACATTATAGAAATGTAAAAAGAGGGATTCACCCTGCGTCACAACGTCGTATTCGACCGAGCTAATAGGTTTAGTTGTTAGGATGATAGCATTAGAAAGAATACATAGAAATATTTGGTAAAAGGGATAGTAACGTGGCAGCCTTTGACAGAAGAACAATGAAAATGGCGAAGCGTTTGGTTAAAAAGGTTTGTACTTTTGATATTAATTAATAATTAATTACGCTTACGTAGAGATACAGAGAAAGAGATACAGAGAAAGAGAGAGAGAGAGAGAGAGAGAGAGAGAGAGAGAGAGAGAGAGAGAGAGAGAGAGAGAGAGAGAGAGAGAGAGAGATGATAAAAGAAAGAGAGAAAGAGAGATCATCATAGGATTTATTCTACGATATATGAACGATATAATTTCTTTTCTTTTCTTTTTCCTTTTTTTTTTTTTTTTTTTTTTTTTTTTATATATGAATTACAAGTTGTAGAAATTAATTCTAAGAATATGAATCTCTTCGATATCATTTTTCTCTTATGAGCATTTAGAAAAGTTATTAGAAGGAGCATGATACCTCTTCTCTATGTAGACTATGTAGAAAATTATTTCCGTCAAAAATAATTAGAGCATATCGATCATCATCATTATCATTATTATCAACGTCATTATTATCATCATCCATAAAACCTCATTTCATGGAACAATTCATTTTTACGAATAATTATATTTATAAACTACTTTTAATATGTATATATACATATACATACAAATACATACATGTCTGTCTTTGTGTATGTGTGTGTATGTGTACATACACTTCATCTCTTTTTGTTTAAATGTAAATAATTACAGAATTTTATAGATATCTTTTAATTAATTAATTAATTAATTAATTAATTAACAATTTATTTATTTATTACAGAAATGTTTGTATTATTTATTATCCTCGTAGGTAAAACAGGGCGCGGAAAATATGATACAGAGTTTGACGAGTGGGCACAGAGACAAGAAATTACTTCAGGAAGCTCAGCAGATGCTTGACGATTCCCGCGCTAAAATTGAGTTCCTACGCATGCGCATAATGAAGGTGCGACAGGCACGCCAACAACAACATGCTCGTGGTGACGCGCCACCTCCGAATGGTGAAACAGGAGGCAATAAAGGTACTAATTAATATCATATATATATATATATATATATATTAGGGAGACCGGAAAGTAATGTCGCTTTCTTAAATTAAATTCAAACGAATAAATTTTTAACAAGTTTTTATTTTTAATCACAATCAAATATCGACATGCGCAGAAACGACATTACTTTTCGGCCCCCTTAATATATAAAATATATATTAATTTATATGTATATATATATATATATATATTTTTTTTTCATCTTTTAATTATTGTTTATTTACTTTTGATAGACATTTAGCACACATTGTAATTATTATTACTTAATATAATATGTATCTTATTTCTCTTATCTTACATTCAATACTTTTGCACATATCTATCTAATAATATTCTAATATTTTTATAAGTTGCAAATATAAAAAAAATTAAATTAAATATGAAACAATAATTTATAACGTTATTTTTTTTTTTTGTAATAATATATAACATAATGTTTGTTATTTAATATAGAATAATTTTTAGACGTTTTAAATAAAGAAGAAAAAAATGGTTTTTCTTTTCTTATTTTTCTATTTTTTTGGGGGTGGAGGAGGGAAGAAAATAATCAATTTTTTATATTGTTTGTTAATTGTTAATTAATAATAGAATTTTCATTAGTATTAACGATTTCTTCTCATCTTAATAAAAAGTTTTAAATTTCTCTTTTATAAAATGATTTCCTAAAATAAGTATGTTTTACATGGACGCACATACATATTCATAAAACTTTTTAATAAACTACATATAATAATATATAAACAGTATTATTATTAATTATTTATGTTACAATATATTCTATTATAATATGATTATTATATTTGATTATAATTATTAAATTTTATTATTATATTATACAATAGTTTTATATATATATGTGTCTGTGTAATAATAAAATATAATTTATTTATATTATAGCTAAGATAAATTTCAACAAGATCAATATTTTTAACATTGAATAAATAAAAAAAAAATATATATATATTTTTTTTTTCTATATATACACATATTATATAATATTTTTCTATTATATTATTATAATGTTATTTGATCGTAAAAGAATTATATATCGTGGTTTATATGTCAGTGTCTCAATGATTATTTTGCAATTGTTTTTGTAGATAGGTACGAGCCAAGCCTGGAACTTGCTTTGGAGGAACGCGTCGAAGAGCTGCGACATCGGCTAAGAATCGAAGCAGCCGTTGTGGAAGGTGCAAAGAACGTAATACGTCTTCTGCAAAGTGCCAAAGTTGCTGATAAGAAGGCTTTAACAGAGGTATGTATTATTCTCCTGTCATCAATAATTTCAATCATTCGCATGTGAGTAACACACATAATGCATAGATATATGTATATATAGATAAATATATAGATAGATATGTATGTACGTGGAAATATATATGCGAGAAGAAAATTAGATGCTTGTGTATATATATATATATATATATATATATATATATATATATATATATACGTGGGGTTCGATGAAAAGCCTTTTGTTATATACGTATATACTAGATAGAGAATATCAAAGAGAAACTATCGATTACATGCATATATCCGTTCGAACGGATGTGAACATGATCGCTAAACTGATCAATAAATTCCTTTCGTGTATTATTATGATATTCAAAAGATTGTTTAGAATTTATTTGATTAAATTTGGAAAATTAAAATAAGCTATCGTGAGAGAGAGAGAGAGAAAGAGAGAGAGAGAGAGTTATGATTTGGTGCTGATGGTCACGACCTGTGTGAAACACAATGACGCACGGTATTTTGTCATACGTCAAATATGCATTGTATATTAGGGTAGGACATATATTTTGAATGTTACAATATACACGAATGCATAGCGACGTTGCTATATCAATGCAATGCGAAATTTTCATGTTATTCCACCGTCGCGACAATATGGAAAAAAAAAAAAAATGTATCGTAGAAAGCATACGTGCAAGACTTCAGCTTCATCTTAATCCATTCGAGACCAATTGCTCACCGTGTGTGCAATGCCTTTATGAGAGGCTATCTAAGACCGGCTGTACACCGGTGTGCAATAGTAATGATAAGTAATTTTCAATTATTCTGAGTAAAATATTCGTCTAAATAAAAGTTGTTTTTTAATTAATAATATCTGTAAAGTATACAAAAATATAATTTGTCATTGGTTTTCATCTGTAGCAAATAAAACAAAACGTTTTGTTTAAATTTTCGAAATCTACATTTTTAAAAAATATCATTACTGGAACCCATATATCTAATTCCATTTTTCAAATCTATCATTAACATCAATAGTATCGTCTTTTATTCATACCATCTAAATGAAAATCATTATCTTAAGCCAGTGGGGTCTGCGTATTCAGAATTTCTTACATGTAAGAAATAATATCTTAAATCTTATTATCTTAAGCGCCGGTTTAGATAATAAATTTTTTCTTTTCTTTATCCGTGAATAAATAAGAAATTCATTTCCACCACTCTGTGTCTTCTTACTCGTGAAAATTAAGCACCAACGACGACGCGTTCAGTCTTACAGAAAATTCTTCGCAGGAATTAGCCGCACAAACGATGTGCAATCATTTTATTTATGCGAATTGACTTACGAATTGGCTGATTTTCATAGTAAACAAGTTTTTTTTTTTTTTTTTTTTTACTGAAAATGAACAATATAATGAAAAAAAAAAAAAAAAAAAAAAAAAAAAAAAGAAAATTTCGATCCTGGGGACCGCGTTCGAAAAAATTCGTGGTCTCGAATGGGTTAACACGTCATAGCCGACGAGATTAATATTGAATTTTTAATTGATGAAATTAAAAAATTATCGCGAATTTTAGGATCGTTAGGATCGTTACGAATTTAGATCGTTAGAATCTTAAGTAAAATAAAAATGACTATTTGTCGGAAAATTTTCGAATAATATTAATGAAAATTATTTAAATATTTGAAATGTTCGTATTCATTATTTATTCCTAAATTCCTTGATGCTAAAAATCGATGGGGAAAAAAAAACGGTATGATAACGGCAGCAATGCATATCAATATTGCTCGTTTGCGACGCGCACGTAACGTCAATGGTGGACCAACGCTTACCGTGCCGTTTGCATTGGTCCTTATACTACGTCATATTGACATAAGTAAGCCACTTATGAAATATTTTAATATGATAAATATTTTAATTGGTAAAACCGTAGTTGAAATTCAAGAACCTTAGATTCAAATTTCGAACTATCCATGACCCATTTTTTCGTACGCCAATAATTTTGAAATTGGGATGCACCTGTTTTTAGCGACTCGAATCTGTTAATTGTGTTGACACACACACACACACACACACACGCATATATATATATATAAAATATAGTTATTTGTATATACGATATTAAAATTGGATTTAATTCGTATTTTAAGAGACAGATTTAATCAAATAAATTATTAATAATTATTCTAATTTAGATCGAGATACATCGTAAGTCGGTATTAATCGTTAAGTTGAATGAATCATTAAAAAAAAAAAAAAATAAATAAATAAATAAATAAATAAATAATATTGGATGATGTATCGTCAAAATCTGTCGAAATTTAGGAATTGTACATGTACGTCAGATTTATTTGGATTAGTATATTATATATTTTTAATCAGTATTTATAATATCAGTACGTAAAATATAAATTGATAGACGTAATTCTGTCACTTAATTATTTATCTCTATTATTTTATTTATTTTACAAAATATTTACGATTAATTAATAAAAATACCAATGAAATAAATAAAACTTTTAATGAAAGGATTATGAAAGTATAGAGTTCAATAAGGTCTTTTATATGGTAACTTGGTTCGTTGAAACTAAATTGCATGCAAAATAAAGAGATCTAAGTTTAAATCCCATGCGCTATTAATTTCGAAAACTGGGATACGTCAGTTAATAGTGAATCGAATCCGTTAATTGTGTTGAGAGATAATTATTAATGGTCGCGTATAACTTCGTATGCGTAGTTAAGCGAGTTATTCAAATATTAAAATTGGATTTAATCCAGGTAATAAGTCGAGTTA